CGTAGGCATTTTGTTAGGCCAATTTGAACAAATGTGGTATAGGGTACAGCTTCATTAGCAATAGGGAGTGATCTAGTGTGGGTTGCTTTGGAACAATTTAGAACAGTGGGGCTTGATTAGATTGTTCCTTCCATTCACATGGAAATTGCTCCTGCAGCCCTTGTAGTTGTGATCTAGTCAACCACATGTTGGCATTAGATTGCCCTGTTCTGGGCTGTTTGGTCGCAATGTGCCCTTCCCCTTCTTGCTCCCCAACTCCTGCCTTCTCTTTGCAATACCTGTCTGCTGGCTGGAAACAGGGAAACAGCCTGCTTCCATTTGCTTGTGGGTGGGCATTAATGCTGGGTTTTTATGCTCACAAAGAGAAGGAGTACAGAGTGGCAATATGTTTTGGTAAATGCATACTGCTTAAGTGATGCAGTGCAACAGTAGAAAAGTGTGTGTGTTTTTTTTAAAAAATAAAATAAAACTGAAAATGCTTTTTTCACTTCAAAAATAGTCTGGAGGATACCACCCACAGTCATGGCCAGACCACACCCACCTTTACACTTACCATTGACATGTAGGAAAAATTTGCACCTTCAACGCCATACTGAACAATCTAGATGATTGCACAGCAAGAAAACCACATTTATTTCAACTGCTCATTCCAAATAAGCAGTAGATTCCAACCCTAGACCCATTAGGGATGGGATGGAATGCTCTAACAAGAACATTGTGTAGTAAATATTTTTTAAGAAGAAGCCTAACCATTCTAGCAGGGGACTGCAGAGTCCAATAAACCCATGTGTAGCCAGCCTCATAGATTGTTTGATCATGATCATATTAGTAATGTTAACGTGATATAGGTTATACTGAACAACAGAACCTGGAAGTAATGATTTATGAATTACATAGTTACCAGTAACTAGTTAATTTTGGGTAACAGATAATGGCCAAAATCTTCATTAGTGTAGCAAATTGCACTAGAATAGGCCATGGAATCATCTCCTCCATAAGTTCGATTGATTCAAAGAAACAAGAGATACTCACTGTTAAAGTTAAAGTTAGAGTAGGTTCATTTGAATCAGTGGAACATATGAAGAAGGTAACTCACCTAATCATCATTGATTCAATGGGCCTACTCTAGTGTGATTTATTACACTAAGCACCTAGATTTTGGCCAACATAAATATTAGCTACAAAAGTTACTTTTAAATTATAATAAGTAAGACCTGAGTAGTTTGGTTTAATGATAGCATCTAGTTACTTTCCCAGTTATACTGTATTGTTATTTCCAAAAGATACTTTTAAAGGGCATTTAAAAGCATTTTAGAGGAATTTTGAGAGGAATTTTTCTGTTTGTGTATGACTGCCTTATCAATCCTGAGTGGCAATGGAAGCATTCACTGGTTTTGTTTTTGGTATATTATAGCTATTTCCAAGGAGCAGTATCATAATTGAAAACCAGTGTGCATTTTTCTGTATTTCCCTGGCCTGTTGATAAAAGCATCAAATGTTGTCAATAGTGTGCAAAGCAACAGATCACTTATACAAATGGAGCGATGATAGCAGCAGCATGGCTCTGAGAAGTGGTGTGTAATGCATTGAGTTCCTTTTGGAAATGCAACATTTTGAGGGCTGCTGAAGAACAGTGTTTCTAGGCTTGTGCAAAGGGAATTCCCACTGTTATCACTCCTTAAAAACAATACGGGAAGCAAAGTCCAGGATTATGGCTTCCAAAAATACCTCCACCTGATCACCTCTTGTCTTAGAAATGGTCTTAATTCACCTCCTGTAAGTTAAGACAATTGGTTCTTGGTTCCAAAGCAGTCGATGCCGTATCCCAAGCCTTCTGAAATAACACCTCATCATCTGTAGTCCAGCTTTCTTTAGTGGCAAGGCTGCCATTATCTTTACACTTGGCTGAATACTTGGTTGAAGTCATATTTTGTGGCATCTCTCATAAGAGAGTCCTTCCTTCCTTCCTTCCTTCCTTCCTTCCTTCCTTCCTTCCTTCCTTCCTTCCTTCCTTCCTTCCTTCCTTCCTTCCTTCCAGTTTAGATAGTATGATGTCTGTCTCCCTGATCCCTCTCTCTCTCATGACCTTTTTGTCCTTTGTTTTATTCTTGTGTTCAGCGCTAGCATAAATACAACAATGGAGGAGGAAGTACGTATGGAAGTATTGTTGTTGTTTCTGTTGGATTCTTAAATATAAAAACATGTCCTCCTCTGTGAAGAATATGTGTGTGCCAGTTGCTCTATTACTGTGGAATGGCACCTTCTGTTTAGCTTGTGCAGGAGGAGAGTTGGGAAATGATTATGCCCTCTGTGAAGGCTAAGTGACATCAGTGGTGAGTCAGGGAGTGAAACTACAGTACTGCTACTATAAATAAGAGTTAATTCAACCTAGGCATATTAGAAACACTGAAAGAGAGGGGAAAAAAAGCTAACAAGGCTTTGCATTAAACATTTTGCAGCAGCACCTCCTTTTGTTTATGAAGACCATGCTGGCTTGTTTATCTACATCCCTTATTTATTTTATTTATTTATTAAATTTATTTTATTTATTTATTTTATTTATTTATTTTATTTATTAAATTTATACCTCGCCCATCTAGACCAAAGTCTACTCTGGGCGGCTAACAACAATAGATAGAATAAAAACAATAAAAATAAAAATAAAAATAAAATAAATAAATAAATATTGCTGCTTTAGGCCTGATGAAGTTGTTTTTACCTAGCTGGTCACTTCCTGTTTCTTAAAAAAAAAAAAATCCTTTAAGACCTAAAACAGGGCCCAGAAGGGGTAAAATGGTGCAATTGTACTTCTAATGACTTCCGAGTTGCCATGTGCAGTTTGGAGGCACATTTCCCAGAGTGCTTTGAGTGGGGCAGTGTGGCTGGAAGAGGAGGTCCAGGGGAAAGCAAAAATAGTCTAGAGCGTTTTGGGCTGCCCACCTCTGGCCTACAGCGGGGGAGAGGTGGAAGGACGGAAGGAGAGAGTGAAAGAGGGAGAGATTGCAACTGTATTTAAATGGAGGTAAAAAAAAAACCCTGGGTGGTCTGATGCTGAGGTCTTCCATACCTCACATACTTTGGCCCTCAGAAGAACCTTATTGCCTGGATAAGGCCAAGGCAGCCTTACAGCCCCGGTCCTTTTCATGACTCAGGATGCAGATAAGAGATTGGTGCCCTTTGTTTCACACAGCTACGCAGCTTCAAGGTGCACATTATACGGCATATATATATATGCATGCATTTCTTCATAGCTGATCTCCTTGTCTGATGGCCTAGGGTCTGTGAATGCTGTCTTGCCACCCAAAGGAGTGGCAGTTCTTCCTGCCCTTGGTGATTGTCTTCTTCTGGGTCCCTCTGTATATTCATGCTAGGAGGCAAGGGCTGTGGGTTATTTCCACACCTTTGCCCTATCTTGTTTGCACCACAGTACTACAAGTAATGGGAGGAATAACGGCTGAAGACTATGCTGAAAATAGGGTGGGTTGGGTTTGTAATTAGGTAACTTTATTGAATAAGCATCCCCTGCAGTTGATTAAGCAAGCAGATGTTTGAGAACTGGATTAAACTTGACTCTTTCATCAGATTGATGTGTGGGGGTGAATGGACTACTAAACATAGTTCTATGCCCAGACTAGTGACTTTTATAGACATAAACAGTAGCAGGTAGCATGAGACATCAGGATAATACTTGGGGGAAAATTCAGGGGAAGCATGAGCCAAGATCTAGTCTGTGTGTTCTTAGCCTCTTCAGTGGCATTTCTGCCTTCATAGAAGGGAGCAGAATGAATCAGTACGGCAGGGTGTAAGCTGAAGCTCCACATTTTTCACAGTTCAAGTCAGTAAGAAACCTGCCTTGCGATTGTTTCCTGCTTCGGCCTTAGATGCTAAAAAGACACTAGAAGCTACACAAGGATGGATGCCATTGTCAATTCAGAAGATATTCAGAACCAGACAAGGTTCAGATTTCTTGAGTTGACACAACCAAAGTTGCCGTTCCTCTTTGGCCCCTCGATGCCTTTATTTCTTTTCATTCCACTCCTATTGGAGGTTGGATGTCACCATGACCTTGGACGTAGCAACTCTGAACAGTGACTATTAGGTCCGTCGGATAATAAGTTCTTCTTTTTCTGCACTCTCCCCTTCCTTTTTATCTTATCTTTAATGATCAGCTGTAACAACATGCAGTTTTCATTTCTTATTATGTTTTTGTTTTTATTTATTAATTAAAAGCACATCAGGCAAAAAAACAAAAGAAAGAAAAAAACAAATAAGACTGAGGAAGTGAACTTGACCCGTTAAAATACAGTAGTTAGTTTTTAAGGTGCCATAAAGTTTTTGTCTACTTTATTTTTTTATTTTTTTGTTTTTGCCTGATATACCAGCACAGACTAACATGACTACCTCTTCAAAAACTAATTTAAAGGATTTCTCTCCCCCCCCCCGCTGCGGCCACTGCCTTTTGATGCCTCAGATCCTCTCAGATGTTTCATTTCAATCAGACAGGTTAAAATTAAACAGAAAAACAGTCATTAAAATGTTACGGAATGACAAACTCAAACTCTGTCAGCTCATGTAGCACCAACTGCCAACCAAAATAAAAAGACTGGTGAACAAAAGCCACTAGCGAATAAGCCAGGGAACATGAAAACGCCCAACATCTATTTACCATACTTCTGACAGTAAGTGGCTATAATGAAGCCTTTAGTTGTTGATGATGTGTCTTGGAGTGGACATTTTGGAGCCCTCCGAATGTAATTGGACTCCCATTCCCAGTGTCCATTGGCCATGGTGAATGGGACTGATTAGAGCTGGAGTCCAACAATATGTGGAGGACCATGGGTTCTGTAGTCCATAACTACACAGAAAGGCAACAAAGGCTTCATATAACAAATAAACATTGCACTATATGGTGCAAGCTATGCATGGGGCCCTATCCTAGTGATAGTGGTGAGCTTTTCAATGGTATCTGAGTGAAATTTTACATGTGCTCCTTCCTGCAGGTTTCCGGGAAAGTGCTTTTGCCTATGCCATTGCAGCTGCAGGTGTGGTGCACGCTGTGTCCAACGCCTGCTCCCTGGGCAAGCTGCAGTCCTGCGGCTGCGACCAGAAACGTCGTGGGGATGAGGAGGCTTTCCGTGTGAAGCTCCACCGTCTCCAGCTGGAGGCCATGAACCGAGGCAAGGGGATGGTGCATGGGGTGCATTTGGAACACATGCCAGCAGAGGCCCCAGGCCTGCAGGACTCCTGGGAATGGGGTGGCTGCAGCCCTGATGTGGACTATGGGGAGAAGTTTTCCAAGGACTTCCTGGATTCCCGGGAGATCCACCGAGACATTCATTCCCGCATGAGGCTGCACAACAACCGTGTGGGTCGGCAGGTGAGCTGAAAGCCCTGTGGTGGGGATGAACGTTGAGCTCGTAAATACTATTCAGACTTTTTCAGGTAGGGTATAGGACAGTGAGAGAGAACTCATCACCTTAAGACATTAAAAAAGTTGGCCATTCCAACACAGCAATTTGCCCAGTTGGCAGCTTTAGAATAGATAGTTTGTACTGGAGTGGGGTAGAAATGGGAGTCAATAAGAGATGTGTTTGCTTGTATTTTTTTGTGATTTTGAGTTTGCATATCTGCAGGAAGGTGATGGGAGGGGGAAGGCAACAGTATAACTAGAGATGAAATCTGCAGCAAACCTAAACTGTATACTAGGCTTTTACTCTGCTGGCTTCCTCTCTGAAGCAGTCTCTGGACCTGTGCATGAAATTCAGTCTAGTTCCCAGCTGAAGTGAGATAAGGTGCCTGCAGTTCTCCTTTCCTGGTACACAGCTTCTCAAAGCCATTGTGCAATCCACTGGTGGTTCCAGAGCTGGACTTAGTGTTAGGCAGGATATGGTGGTCATCTCAGACCGCGGAGGCAATGGGGCATCAGCAAGGTGTCAGAGGAAAGAGCTATTAGCCACATAGCTTGCCCACATTACTTGAAGCTAACCTGCTGTTTTCAAATGTAAAGGAGGCTGTTACTCCATTGGCAGAACTGAAGAAAAATTCAAGTGTCATCCAGTCAGCTTTTCTATGTGGAAAGGGAAGCATTGAGGGGATCCTGTCTTAATGTTCACTTCAGACAATCCAAATGGCATTGAGGTAAAGTTGTTTACACATGTGTGTGTGCATATCCACCGACATTCCAGATACTAGCTTCTTGCTTTCTTTTTTCTTGCAATATTTACCAAGAGTGTTCAATAGGAGCAATGTTATTTCACAATCTAGTTTCTCTTCAGGCAGGGATATTCAAAGATGTCTTTGGTAGTGACCTCATTTCAATATGCAATTCATGCAGACACATCTCAGACATTTCTTCTAGCAGCCTACAACTTCATTCACGGGGTGTGAGGGAAGCCCCATTACAGACTGAAGTCTAATGGCAGGCTCACTTGAAAATTCAAGTGTCATCCAGAGCCTCTATAGTAAGATGCAGTTTACTACCTCTGGTAGCTAGATACTTGGGGCAAACAGGGCAGGGATATGAAGGTGTTCTCTGTCTGCACATTTGCTGTACCCATGTAATTTGGCTAGTCACTGTGTGGGAAAAGTTACTGAACCAGAGGGGACTTCTTGACTCAGTGTCTGAACTCTGGTTACACTGTTACACAAACAGCATAACTTTTGGAAATGAGTTACAATCAATTTTAAAATCTTCATAGATATCATCTGTTGCGTACTGAGTCACATGACTCACCATGCAACAGACAATGCCTTCTGAGATTTCTCAACTTGGGTGTATTGGGCATCTAAAAGTTATGCTGTTGGCAGAACTGCACAACAGGATTTCAGCCAGCGAGGTATTCCCAGTGCTGCTTAACAGATCTCTGCTTTTTATGGGAAGTGGGAATAAATGTGGGTCCAGAAATAGAATACCCTTTGCCCTGACCAGTGTGAAACAGCATGAAGTCACACTTCCTTTGTGAATAATACCAAGTCCAAAGGAACAAATTCATAAAGTAAATGCAGAAAACCGCATGTGCACATGTACCTGTTGATGCTGGCAACTACATGTGTCTGACCTCAGCAATGACCAGCTTCAGAACTGTTCAGGTCAAAACTGCATTATTAATGGAAACTATGAATTTGTAGGTGTTATCACAATTAGGCTCCTGAGCAATGTTTTCAATAGAGTTTATTACATGTAATAAGATTTTATGCAGAATGATATAACCAGAACAAAAGATAAAGGCAGACCAATGTGTAACTGTAAACAACAGCAACAAAAATAAAATAAAATAGAAATTTTGGACTACGAGTACTGAGCACAAGCTATTATTCCAACACATCTAATTTGTAGAAAGTATTTGAGGAGAAATTTTATGAAAAATGAATGATAAGAGTGTGCACAAAATTTAGTTAAAACATCATGTTGTGAATGCCCATAGCCTCAGATGGGGAAAAATCAATTTGTTCACAGAATAAACTTTGAAATTATTGTCATATTAGATTCAGAGGGGGGAAAAACCACTAAGTTCAAAATATCAGCCATGCAACCTTCAAATGGAAGAAATTAGGCTTGTTACAGTTAGACATGTTGTCAACATGCATGTCCACTGGAAGAACCAGGAGGAGGTGATCTCCACCCTGTCAGATAGGAGAGGGGATACCTTTTCTGTCTGGAAACATTACTATGGCCAGTGGAATTGGGGGGGGGAATCAAAACCAACTGAACACAGCCCTTTGCTTATGCATGGTAGATTCCAGAATGGAGCTAAGGCCTTTTTCTTCCTGAGGCTATAGACAAGACGGCACTTCTCCCTCAGGCCTTCTTACAAAACCAAGGTGGACTGAATCTGACTTCAACATTGGCAACATAGGATAGGATCTTCCATCACACCTGAAGGGTAGCAGCTATATTATGGGATGCAGGGGGAGACTGGGACTCAGAAGAAGTAGTTGGGGGGCTGTGGTTGCCACTCTCGCCAACTGCTGCCTGAGGCTGCTGCCTCTCTGTGTTGAATGGTAGAGCTAGCCCTGCTATTATGTACTGAGGTATGGAAAGTAACGCAGAAGCTCTTTTCTAGATGTTCTGTTGAGGTTGGGAGAAAGGCATGATTTAGTCAAGTGCCTTAGTCTGTTAACTAAAGTTTATTTGCTATAATGTGGACTTGTTTAAATGGATGGTTGGCCACAATCGGAGCTAAATTCCAGCCCCTTTACTTCCCCACTACTAAGACTTTTATAAGAAAATCCAGGGAGAATTACAATGACTAATTCATCACTTGCAACCAGAAAGTGGTTTTATGATAACAAAAGATGGACGAGAAGTTAATTGCTAAGGGGAGGAAATGGCAATGAACATCTTTAGTGAAAGTAACTCTGGCAAGAATTGCTCAGTCATGTCAACCTTGTATAGGAATGCATATCTAATGCACCTTCTTCTAGTACATGCAATGTGAAAAAAGGGATATGTGCATGGGCCTTCCTTGAAGAGAATGGGAAAATCCTTCCAGACAGAGAAGATATTTGCATCGGTCAAAGATTTCCTGAGATGCTGTTAGCTAAGGTTAACTGCTTTTGCTGGATTCTTTCTTGGTCTGCTTCCACAGTGGGGTTTCACCATTTTATATGGACTGTGGCCTCCTTTCTACCTAAATGCAAAAAGCTATCAGGTTAGCTCAGGGGGGACCCCCATAGCAAACAAAGGTTGCCTTTCAGCTCCTGAGGCCACTGCTAGATTTAGCCCTGTTCTAGGACTTGCTCTTCCTATTTATTTAT